TGTAAATGCTACTTAGGTCAAGTTTATTGATAGTGTTGTTCAAGTCTTTGGAATCCTTACTGATTTTTTTGTCCATTTGTTCTAGTACTTATTTGAGAGAGCACTATTAAAAGTCTCTAGCTATAGCTGTGGATTTTTCTATTACTCCTATCAATCGTAATTTGGTTTTTGCTTTAATTATATTGAAACTCTGTTATTAGGTACATACACATTTAGGATGGTTATGTTCTTGTGGTGAATTGACCCTTTTATCTTTAAATCATGCTTCTTTATTCATGGTAGTATTATTTGTGGTCGTCTACTTTATCTTTAATTAGTATAATTAAGCTTTCTTTTCTTTAAAGATTTTATTTACTTTTTTATTTTTAGAGAGGGGAAGGGAGGGAGAAAGAGAGGGAGAGAAACATCAATGTGTGGTTGCCTCTTGTGCACCCCGTACTGGGGACCTGGCCTACAACCCAGGCATGTGCCCTGACTGGGAATTGAACTGGCGACCGTTGGGTTTGCAGGCTGGCACTCAGTCCACCAAGCCACACCAGCCAGGGTCATGTGTGGGTTCCTTAAGGGGAACTGCTTAGGACTCCAGCAGTTTCTTCCACTGACTCAGTCCCCACTGGTGTTGGCATCCAGAAGTTATAGGGACTTTGTGGTACTGGAACCCTGGGCTTGGGGGACCTGGTATGGGGCTGGGGCTCATTGCTCCTGAGATATCCCTCCCAAATTTTTATCCACCACACAGGGATGTGGGACCAACCCATTCCACGTCTCCAGCTCTCCTACCAGCCTGGATGGATGTGGTTTCTTTAATTCTGTAGTTGTCCGATTTCCATTCAACTCGATTTCTCATGCTTCTGATTGATGGTTGTTTTATATTTTAGTTGTAATTTTGATGTGGTTGTGTGAAGAGGTGAGCCATGTTTACATATGCCGCCATCATGACCAGAAATCCTGGAAATAACAATGTTTGGATTTTTGATCTTTACATTATAGGGAAGTAAACTATAAGGAAGTTGGAAACCATAATTGGAGATGACAGAATCCATTTGAGTGAGCCAGTTTAAGGAGAAAGAAAGCTATTATAGGGTGTTAGAAGGCTAACAGAACCTCTGGGAGTTTCTGGGGATCCAATTTTAGATCGGGACTAAACCGGGACTTGTGAAGCCTAGAGCAGTATCTGACCCCACACTGACAGCGTTCTAGCAGCAGCCCTACTACAAAAACTGCTGCCTGTACTACCAGTCATGCTTTGTGTCTGCTCCACTGTGAGTCTGTCATTAAATGCCACATCTCTAGGGTCTGTTCTTTAGACACTTCACTCCTTACTGATTTTTGTATTAGAGTGCTTTTGAGTATGGGTGAGAGAAACTCAACCTCACTGAGTATAGAATAAAGAATAAATGTATGGGTTTTATTGGTCAGAGTTCTTAGTTGCTGAGTACAGAATTCACTGTATCTAATATAAGCAGAAAGGAATGGAGGATGTTAGATTCTTATAGAATCTTTGAGAAGACTAGAGAGCCAGGCTGGGATGCTATTCTTTCAGGAACAGTGGAAACACCCGTGCCCTCTGCAGCTTCGCACCCATGGTTTCAAGCTTCAATCGCTGAAAGGTCGGACATGGCCTAGGAGAGCCTGATGTCTCAACCATTGTGCTGGCCAAACTGCCTGGTCTCCCTGCATGCGGCCTCATTTTGATGTTGCTCACTTCCGTATCTACATTTCAGTCGGGTTTGCCAGTGTGGCTAACCCAGCCCCTATGTCTGCACCCTTGTTCAAGGGCGTCTGGGAAAAACACCGCTTAGAGCTTCAAGGAAGATAAGCCAGTGGTTTGGAAGTGGATGTATAGTAGCTGCCACACTCACTTCTTTGGCTACTGAACATCCATCCTTGCTTTGCTTCCGTCTTTGTAAGCAACAGTAATGATCCCTGAATCATTAGAAAATGTGGTGCCATTTCTTCAGATGGGGAGGCCCAAATTTACCTTCACTCCGGTTGATGTTTATTCTTCCTCTGGTTTGAGCCACAACCCAGACTTTATTGCTTGTAGCTTCTACAATAAATTACAATATTAAAACTACCACCAAGAGACCTTACAAAGAAATAGAAAGGGAATTGGGGTACAGACGGAAAGTAATCATACCAAGCAAGGGCAGAAATACGTGTGGCTCCTTTAGTCTTCTTTTCTGTTTCTGAGGTTCATCCTGAGGCCTTCGCTGGGATTCAGAATTGAATTCCCCCACTCTCCTCCCCTCAGTACCTTTAATAACCAGAGTTCTCAGTTTGGTAGGGTGACCCAAACCTTCATTCTTAAGGGTTCTGAGCCCTGATTAGAAGCAGTATTTCATGGGAATAAGTCTTTCATACTCTGTGGGTGGTATTGCTAGCCAATACACGACAGGCAGAAAAGGCAGATCATGTTCGGACTGAGAGTCTGTTTGATGAGGATAGACGGCTGCTATTCCAGGATGCTGAGAGTTTAACGTACCTGACAGGTTACCAGGAAGGGTGCCATGTTGGAGGCCCAGTGTACACTCTTCCTTGCAGTTTGGACACCTGGAGTGATCAGATCAGATTTGGTGAGAGGACATCCATGTAGTGGCACCCGTGTGTGATCTGTCTCCTTGCCTCTGTGTCCACTCTGTGTATGTGTCCTTTGAGTCATTATTGGTGTGGTTAGGAGGCGAGGCTGACTGATCGCCGTAGAGGAGATAACTTACCTGCCTGATATTAATGAGAGTCTTGTCTGCAGAGGGAGCCCGGGAGTGAGCATGAGGACGCAAATAGCCTCACGCTCAGGCCCGTCCTGGTTGTCTGCCTGCAGACCTCTTTTCTGAGCCTCACGGTCCCCGACATTCTAACCTGATTCCTTTCGAGTCCCTGATCGTTGTGACAAGTGAATAACCCCTGCCCACAAATGGGCGTGGGTTAGTACTGCCGGCCGGCTCCCTCAGCTCAAGGTAGAAAGCCAGGTGTTCACTCCCATGTGCCACCTTCCAAAAGGGTCTCCTCCTTCACTGTGCTTCAGAGCCGCTCCTGCTCCGGACTGAAATTCGGCAGCTGTGTTGTTCCAGTCGCTGCCAGTATATCACGCAGAGCCGTCTGCACAGTTACATCCTTGTCCTCCTCAACTGATGTGTCACAGGGAACGCCCACGGAGCCCCAGCTGAGGGTTGAGGGAGAAACGACACTGCATTAGGAGTGGGCACACTAGGCTGGAGTGGGCACACTAGGCTGGGGCATGTTCTTCACGTGTTCGCGACCTGCTCCGCTCCATGACGAGGGCCTGGTGGTGCTGAGCACACCTGACTAGGACTTCGTGGCTCACCCCCAGATAAAGTCTGGGTCGTGATGAAGCTCAGGTTACGTGGGTCCCTTGGTTTTCTTTCTCAGGCTTCCAGCTAATTACATGTCAGGGGTTATTTCTCACAAGAAGACTTGTTAGGAGATGGAGGTTTTAGCTTGCATAAAACCCTAGGGGACACTGCCAGTGAGTGTCCTGTGAGGTCGTACCCTCTGAGGTCTGGGCGTGCTCTTGTAAGCCCCTCAAACTGTCGCTCAGAGCCCTCCAGCTCCACTAGATTGCTTGTTGGAACGGAGAGCACTGTTTGCTTTAGTTGCGATGTGAATTCCAGTGACTGTACAGATTTGGGTCCTCCAAGGAGACCACATTTGTAACTGCTGCTGGAGTTGCCACCCAGTTAAACTTAAAATAAATTCCTTCTGTTTTCTCTTCAGACCAAATAGGTGGGTGAAATATGGAGGTGGTAGGAATTGCATGGGTGTTTCACACACGATCGCAAGCTGCAGTGCAGTCTGGAAAGTACTGGTTTTTGACTTTAAATATTTTTTTATTTTTCAGTTACAGTTGGCATACAATGTTATAACAGTTTCAGGCATAGAACCCATTGATTAGACATTATATAACTTACTAGGTTTGGGAAGTGCTGTTGTAACTCGGACCCCGACGGTGCATCAGGCACAGCTGGATGGCAGTCAGGGTGCCGAGTCACCTGTCTGTAAAATCTGCGACTGCAACTGAAATTGTGAACGTCGTCAGTCATTTTGTGGGAAATTCGATCTGCCTTGATTTGCATCTTGGATGACTATAGCGAACGGATCTCCCTTTACAGAGGGACATGCTGAATATATTATTTGGTTGTGGGTCTGATGATTGGGAGCTCATTCAGCCATTTTTGAATAATGAAAAATAACAAAGGCCCTGATGAGTGGCTCAGTGGGTTGGGCGACGTCCTGCAGACCAAAAAGAAAGGTCATTACTTACTTGATTTCCACACTACGCCTGAGGTGTGGGCCAGGTCCCCAGTTGGGTGCGTGCGAGAGGCAGCCCGCCAGTGTTTCTCTTGTACATCGATGTTGCTTTCCCTCTCTTTCACACATCGATGTTTTTCTCCCTCTCTTTTTCCCTTCCTTTCCCTCCTCTAAAAATAAATAAAATCTTTAAAAAAAAAACCCAAGGGCAAGCTTTCTGTTTTTCCAGTATGAACCACTCTGGGCTATGTTCTTTTTCTCCCCCAGAGATTTATGGTAAGTTTTGGTTTTATTTACAACTAAAATAGGTCAGAACAGTTTTTTAAAGGATGAAAAATATACCAGAGACCAAATGACACCCAGTTGTAGCTGATGTCTTTGGAAGTAAAAGTAACTCTGGGTAAATCTACTTAAATATCATATGTAAAATTTGTGTTCCAACTTCACCTATATAGCCCGAGAACAACTTTCCTGAGTAAATCATAAAATAGTATTGGTCATAAGGTTTATAATTTTTAACAAAATAGAAGTGAGAAATGAAATGTGTTGTATTAGTCTCTAACTGAATGTGACTTGTTTGGGATACCCTGTGCTAAGAATTAATTTCTGTTTCTGTAAACTGAATGAATCTTCCACATGGATATTTTCCTCATTATTTTAAAGTATTGGTTTTAAAGGAAAGCAGTTGCTGTAGCAGTTTGTTTTTATTTTCATGTTGAATATTTTTTCAGCTCCCTTGGAAATCATTGACGAGCATCATTGAATATTATTACATGTGGAAAACTACTGACAGATATGTACAGCAGGTAATTTTTTTATATCGCTACCATTATATTGCATTAAAGTGAACTTTCTGGTCATATTTTAGTATTCCTTGGCAGTATGCTTAATTTTAAATTTGTTTTGTTTTATGTTTTCTAGACTCTTAAATTGCATGATTTTATAGCCTTAAGATGCTGTATTAAGATTTTAGTCTTTTTTTTACTTCAGAATTTATTATGATGGCTATTTTGGAAAGACAACAGGGAAAGATATCACTAGAGAGGCACTATTTTCCTTTCCAGGTGCCTAGTCCTAACATCTTTGTGAGTTTACTTGAAGGAGATGACCTAAGATTTGATGTTAGCACAAACCTTTTGAACAAGTTATTTTTACAGTATTAAAAATTTAGACTGATGCCATAACCATATAATTTGAGATATTTTGAAACCTCTTTATATGACATTTGTGTGACTATATCCCCTACACCTGTCATCTTACCTGTAGAAGTTAGTCTTGCTCGTTTGATGTTTTGGTACTGTACACACATTTTTATCCAAAAGTATTTCTAAAAGCAGGGAATCATGTGTTTTTGAGTCCTTCCCACATGTCCCAAACTGAGGCAATTCTTTATTTTGAGTAATACTACTTGGGAAAAAGCATATTTTCCTAGAGTGACTTCAGTCAATACTTGTTTTTATAGACTTCTAGTCACGTGTCAGAACGGGTAAAGAAAGGGGCATATATGTTTAGTACAGACATTTTATTTCTTAAGTATGTGATTGCATAGTGGCATGTGTTGGGTGCTGTAAAAATACACTGTAAGAATCACTGTCTTATTATAGTGAGTTGTTGAGATCGAGAATAGTGAATGCCAGCCAACCCATGGCTTGCTAAAAATTTTCCTGTGTCAGCATCATATGTAATGCAAAAAGTGCTTATTTGAAACAGTTTAGCTACAAGTGAAGACCATGTGCTCTGAAAACCCATATTATTTAAAGCAAAAAGAGTCCCCAGAGGTGGCAGAGATAATAACAACATCAGGGATGGTTGAAAATGTTTGGATAAAATTATTTTCAGAAATTTTAACTCTGTCCCTAAAAGTTTTAAGTTGTCCCCCTAAATGTTTTTGTTCACTCCTCATTAAGAAAACAAGGAGAAATATTTTGGTTTGTCTTATTTTTGGATATCTACCATATATTATTTTCCTCCCCTATTTGCATTCATTATTGTGTTGATCAGTCTCTGGATCTGACTACATAATCTTTTTCCCATTCCTTTCCTGCATTTGGCTCCTAATTGGTTCCTAAAATCTGATGTGAGTTCAGCCAAGCTTTAAAGTATACTGCATATCTCCCAACATTTGAGGGTAAATGCTTATTTAATTGTATTTAGAATAGTTACTATCTCTTTCTTTTGCATGGACTTTGAAAACTAATCATCTCTGAATATTTTTCTAAAAGTAAAGATTATGTGTGGTTTTTTTTTTCTTCTCAGAAAAACAAAAAAAGAAATAAGGTCAAAAATAAATTTGAAAAGTGAAAATGGTTACTTACAAGTTCTGTTGATTTACTCATATGGGGAACGGAGTTGTTCATTGCTTTATTTTTAAAATCTATGTCTAAAATGTTATTAATACTTATAGTTCTGTGTCTGAGAATCTAGTGACTTTTCTTACAAATTATTGCTGCTTAATTTTCTTACAAACTACTATATGCCCTAAAGTGGCAATCTTTTAATTTTGCTTTAATACATAATTTTCTTGTGAATTTTTTAAAACCATGAAGTGGTAATAATTCTTAGGCATTGCATGTAACATATTTTATCCATCTTTTGAATTAGAAACGTCTAAAAGCTGCAGAAGCTGAGAGTAAACTGAAACAAGTGTACATCCCAACTTAGTAAGTAACGGAAATCTTTTAAAATGCTTGTCATGGTATTAATGCTATCAAAACAAAATGTGTCATGTGGGGCAGTGTTAGCCAAATTTGAATTTTTTGTGTATCTTGTTTTCTTCTGCCACAAAGCATGAGACTTGCTTCCCCTGACCACTGCACTGATGTTTTCAGAGAAAGCTGGCTGGTGGGGGAAACACCGAGCAGACCGCAGGAGGACTAGAGGGGAAGCGGCCCTGTGTTGTGCTCCGTCACAGCTGCAGGGGGCGTGTCAGGAAGCCAGCCTGTGACACGCCACCGTTTGAAGCAACTGTGTTTCAGAGAGCTACCAACTTAGGAAACTTGTCCGTGGTAGAATGGATTTTGTTTGGGTAATGCGCATTGCCCTTTTGGGGTATAGTAATTTTATGTTATTTGCTTAGAAGAATGGTTAGGGAAAGTAAGTAGAATTATACTTTGTAAATATTTGATAAATAATGAATATCTTTTGATTGACTTGGTCTAGCATTCCATCATTTTCCTTTGGACTTAGAAATCATTGTTATATCAAAATGAATGCCAGTATTCTTTTCATGTGCTATGTTTTAAATGACTTACAATCTTGTTCTTGGTATCTTTAGAGTTCTATCATGTGTTTGTTCAGGAAAATCTAGTTTATTGAGCATCATGTATATAGTGCTATCCTAGGTTTGGGGGTGGGTTTAAAATGAGACTTACTGCAAAGTTCAGCCGCAAGATTTTTCTCACTCTATAGGAGTGAAGTACAGTGGTTTTGTACTAAACCTTTTATTTACTGAATTTTGACGTATTAAGACATTTGTATATATAGGAGGTCTCATAGAAAATGAATTGTACTGTTCTTACTAATCTTTTATCTCCAAGCAGATAACATCTGCATAATGGTTTCTAGTATTTTTGAAAAGTTTATATTTTATTTGACTAATTTATAAAAGAATAACTCCCCAAAGGAAATACTGTTGTGATTTGTGTCTTAGATTTTCAAAAGTAAGCATACCAGCTTTCTTGTACTTTACCATGCTGTCACATCAAAGGACAAGTATACTTAACCAAGACTCACCAAGTAACCCAGATAATTGTTTCTATTCTGTTTTGCATTGACTTTGGAGCCTTGATCAAAGTCAGAGACCAGTCACCTATAGTCTGTGGACCAAATCTGACCTGATACCACCTTCTTCTTCTTCTTCTACTTCCTTCTTCTTTCTTCTTCCTTCTTCCCTCCTTCCTTCTTCCCTCTTCCTTTTTCCTTCTTCCTTCTTCCTTCTTCAAATCCTCCCTGGAGGACATTTTTTTTTCAATGCTTTTAGAAAGACAGGGTGGGAGAAACATTGATTGTTTGCCTCTCACAGGCTCCCCAACCAGGATTGAACCTGCAATCTAGGTTTTTTAGTCTTTTAGTCATGTGGAAGGAATGGAACCTGTGACCTTTCAGTATGTGGGACAGTGCTCCAACCAACTGAGCCACACTGGCCAGGGCACCTGCTATGGTTTTTGTTTGTTTGTCTTTTGTTTGGGGGGGGAGGGGTTCATTTATTTATGTTTTAGAGAGGAGGAGGGAGGGAGAAAGAGAGGGAGAGAAACATCAATGTGTAGTTGCTTCTTGCACACCCCACACTAGGGACCTGGCCTGCAACCCAGGCATGTGCCCTGACAGGGAATCGAACTGGCAACCCTTTGGTTTGCAGGCCGGCACTCAATCCACTGAGCCACACCAGCCAGAGCTGTTTTTTAATAAATAAAGTGTTATTGGAACACAGTCATATTCATTCATTTATGTGTTGTCTGGGTCTGCTTTAGTGCTATAATTGCACAGTTCAGTGGTTACGATAGAATTATGATATCAACAAAACTTAAAATATTTTACTATACCAACCCCTGATCCAAGCGAGTGATTTTTGGAGCTCAAAACAGTTTTTAATTGTGCTTCTTAAAGAAATTATATATGCCATGTACATCAGTAGAACATATGAAGCTGCATTATTGAGTTGGATTAAGAATTTGAGTCCTTTGAAGAACTTCCCAGTTAACTCTGAAATAGAATATTTAAAAACAAATAATATATTGAGAATGATTTCATACTATCAGTCTTCTGAGCCTGGCAGTTTCCTCTGTGCAGAGCACTCAGCTCAGTACTGGAGGTAGAAAGGTTAAGAAGACAGGCTGCATTCTCATATGGGGAGGAGGATGTCAAGCAGCTTGTCGCCCAGTGTGACAAGTACCAAGAGGGCGAATAGCTCTTCTGTGGCCGGTGTGGTAGGCAAGGGCCAGGGGTTTGTCCATCTGATGAAGAGTGGAAATGGATTTTAAACAAGGAAGTGTTATGATCAAATTTATACTTTAAAATCACTGGCTATATTTTGGAGAATGGTTTGGGCAAGGGAATAAGAGTGGATGTAAGGAGACCAGTTGTGAAGTTTGCGGGGAGGGAAGATGGTAGTAGGTTGACCTGGAGTTGTGGCCCTGGAAATGGGGCTCTCTGCCTGGGGGTGATTGATCACCTGGGGGTGATTCTAGGAGGGGAGGGCCCGTGTCAGGGTTGAGTGCGAGGTTTCTGCTAGCACAGCTGTGTGGCTTGCCGTGCTCTTCACCAGGCTAAGAAACTGTGGCAGAGAACCAGATCAGGTCATTCTGAGTTTGTCGTGTCCATAAAGAGGTGTTGAATATACTGTCAGATATATTGGTCTTAAACTCAAGGGAAAGTTCTGGGCTAGAGATACTAATTTGAGCTTCATCAGCACATCATACTGTGTTTTAAACCATGGATGAGATTTCTTAGGAGGAGCAATAAGAAAAAGGTGCCTTGGGCCAAGCTTAAATTGGGTATTTATATGTCAGATAAAGTATGAAAGCTATAAAAGGATGGTAAGGTGAGTGCATTATCCTCAAAACTGAGAGAGGAGTGTGTTTCAAGGAGGGAAAGAGATTAACAGTGTCAGATGCTGGTGAAAAATAGCCAGGGAATTGAGCAACATGGAGGTCATCAGTGATCTTGAATGGAGTGGTGAGGACGCCAGGTAAGCCAGGAAGCTGCATGTAGTGAAGGCTTGCAGCTCTCAAGAAACCTGGCTGGAAATGACAGTCAGGAGAGAGCTCTCGGCTCTGCAGAGTAGGTTGGGGTGGAGAAACGTGAGAATTTTTAAAATAGGAGAAATATGTTACATGTTAGTGAGGGGGGTCCAGGAAAGGGAACCAAGAGGGCAGGAGGGGTAGAGCCTGGAGCAAAGATGTGGGGAGGAGGGATTTGAGATCAGATAAAAGAAGGGCAGTTGCATGTACTGTGACTTTGAAACCTTTTTCATATGTTTGGCTTAGAGTGAAAGTTTATTCATTCGGATGGTCACGTTAGCATCTATCATTTCTCCCCTGAGAGTTAATCTGTAGGTTCTTGGTTTTGCAAAACATAGTTTAAGTGATTCACATGCCTGTATTCAGTCTCTGCACACTTGTTTTCCTCTTGTAATTATTATAATGTTAAGGTCAGTAGTTTACTCAGTCAAGTAGCATTCTAGCTTCAGGTGAACCACTGAAATTGTGTTTACTCATATTTTTTTCAGACAACTCAACTGTAAATTTGTATTAGCTCTTTTTCTCCATGTATATTTAACCACAGGTTAAATGTCAGAAATTTTTATATTTTTGGAAGGTCGTTTAATTTCAAGGGGCCAGCATGTCTGTCTGTCTATAACAGATTTTTAAAATCAGAAATATTATTATGTCCCTTGGAAATCTTAGTCATTCTAAATCACTACTTTTCATTTTGTACATTTCCAAATGAAAACTATAAGAAGAGAAATACTTCTTTTGGCTTAAAATGTGTTTTTAAAACCAATTTGTCTTCAAGACACATTGCTGGCACAGGTTAGAAATGTAAATAACAGCCCTTTGTACAGAATAGCAACCTCAGAGTGCTCAGAGATTGAATGATTTCGTCTGGGGGTGGTGGAGGTTTTTCACCAAGAGTTACAGTAACAAAGCCAAGAAGAAATCTTAATTTGCCACTAGGCCAAGTTTACGTACTAGGCTTTTGCTGGTAATTGGAACCGTGGGAATGCGAAATGGCAAAGAGGACACTTCTGAACCGACTCTGTGTGGAAACCCCAAGTGTCTTTAGAATAGTGATCCCTCATTACTGTAGTCACCACAGAAGATAGAAGTGTTCAGCAGTTAGTCATTCAGCATTTATTTCTCTCAAATAGATGTGAAAGCTCCCTTGGGTCAGGCACTGAAAAAATACATGTTAAATGAATTATAAGTTTATTGAAGGCATATTATGTATACCTGTGCAGTATTGGGTTGGCTAAAAAGTTTGTTTGTTTTTTTCTATAAGATGGCTCTAGTTAGTTGCCTTTAACTTCATTTGAAACAGTTTTGTTAGATTGTATTGTGATAGCTGTCACATCATTGTGCATTTTAAAAAAATCAAAATTGGTGAATTTTTGTGTAGCCATTTTAATGTTGAAGATGGAAGAAAATACCCAAGATTTTTTGGCATATTCTTTATTATTTCAAGAAAAGTAAAATTGCAACTGAAACACAAAAACGGATTTGTGCTGTGTGTGGAGAAGGTGCTATCACTGATCGAACATGTCAAAAGTGGTTTGTGAAGTTTCATGCTGGAGATTTACTGGACGGTGCTCCGTGGTCACGTAGACCAGTTGAAGTTGATAGTGATGAAATCGAGACAGTAATTGAGAACAATGCACATTTTACCACAAAGAAGATAGCCAACATACTCAAAATATCCAAATCAATAAAGTAATTGGTGAAAATGAAAAATGTGCCTTTCGTTTTTCAGAAAAAACCCTACAGACTTTTTGGCCAATCCAATATTATCGGGCATGGCTTGTGAGCAGGGGAGTTAGCCCACCCTAGGTGGGGACAGGTTAGCCACGTTCGCACAGCAAGCACGCAGGTAATCTGGGCTACATGTTCTGGGGAAGTATGGCCTTTGGGAAATTTGCGTGTACACTTCTGGTAGATGTCACCTTTTTCCTCCTAAAATTTTTTTCTTGAAGACAAAAACCTCAAAATACATATATTGGTTTTTCTAATTTTGAATGCTGTGTAATCTTCCTCAAAGAAGCTCAGACATAACAGAAATTATCGTCACAAGCGGTCGGAAGCTGCTGAAGCCCCTCGCCTCTGGAGGCGCCCTGTTGACGCCGAGCGCGTGTGTGGGGCGCCCTGCTTTCGTGCAGCCTCCTCGGGAGTCAGCAGGGGTGGCTCGGTGGTTTTATCCGAGCATGGCACGTCACCTTTGATTTAATTTATGTGATCCGTAAAAGGATTTTATTTTCTCAAGAGAATTTGTGATATCTGGTAAAGCTTAATAACGTGTGTCTTCAAACGCACCAGAGGGTGTCCTAAAGAAATTGTATTTGGGTGGAGGAGAGAGATGGTTGTATTAATTTTGTGTCAGGCATAAGAGATTGGTTTGTATATAGCCTTGTTTTGTAAAGATGAATGGTTTGACTTCTTTTTTTTATTTTAATTTTTGATTTTAGAGAGAGGGCAAGGGAGGGAGAAAGAGAGGGAGAGAAACATTGATGGCTGCCTCTGTATGCGCCCCGACTGGGGACCGGACCCACATCCCAGGCATGTGCTCTGACCAGAACCGAACCGGCGACCTGTTGGTCTGCTGGCTGGCGTCCAACCAGCTAAGCCACACCTGCTGCTCTGGGTTCACTTTTCCAGTGTATTTCTTCTTTGCCAAACATTCAAATGTGTTTATGTTTAGTTCAGATAAATCAGTAATGAAATGTAGAGCCTTTTGCCTTGTTTTTTGTACAAGTCATTTTTATGACCTTATTTTACATTTCATTGAAAGCAGCAAACCAAATCCCAACCAAATATCTACCAGCAATGGCAAGCCTGGTGCTGTGAATGGAGCCGTGGGGACCACGTTCCAGCCGCAGAACCCCCTCTTAGGCCGCGCCTGCGAGAGCTGCTATGGTGAGTTTCCTCCAGCGGGGCTTTATTTTCTCTGGGGAGGCTTGCCTTCCTTGACATGCAGGCAGCTGTGCTGGCACTGGTGGGAGGTTCGTGAGGCCAGCACTGCGTAGAGGACAGGACAAGGTAGCCTCGGAGTGACCAGATGCCCATCCTTCCCTTCCGCCTGGACACTGAGTGTTTAAGCCCTGGGTTTCCTTGGATTTGCTTCTCTGGAGTCCTGTGTTTGTGAGTATCCACAGACGGCATTGTTAGCTAAGCTGCATTCGGAGTTGTTAATTGGCTGTGTGCAAACCATGGTCCCGTGAAATATACCAAATCCCCTTTTGGAGTTTCTCAGTGTACTTTGATAAATTAAAGGCTACAAATAATTCTGTAGGAAAGATCTGTGTGTGGTCCTCAGACCAGATTCCCTCAGAGCAGAGGTTTGGGAGATGATGCTATTCTGTGGTATTTGCTTTTGGCCTCAGGGTCCCAATTTTTTAAAAAAAATTTTTTCTTTATTTTTTAGAGAGAGGGGAAGGGAGGGAGCAAGACATTGGATTGGTTGCCTCTCACATGTGCTCTGACTGGGGACTGAATCTGCAACCTAGGCATGTGCCCTGACCAGGAATTGAACCCGAGACCTTTTGGTTTACGGGAGATGCTCCAACCAACTGAACTCCACCAGCCATGGCTTAGGGTCCCGATTTATTCATCACTGCCTAAAACCTACCAGAGGCTGGCAGTATTATATTATATATATTGTGTTAGTGAAATGAATTGGTACATAGTTGATACACTTTTTATGTTTATTTAAAATCACAAATAACAGCATAATCTCTTACTTAATGAGGTATTGGTGACATTATTATCTGTGTTTCTTCCAACCAAAGTATCCTGGAGTGGGAGTGGAAAGAAAACTAACGGTTATTAAATGTCTACTTAGTTCCTAGTTTTTGTCTCTCAGCAGCTCTTTCGGGGGTTACAGAGCCTGCTTGCTGCCTTGGGGACAGAGGAATGAGGGCATCCATGACTCTGCTCCCTGCTCCACACCAGGTTTCAGCATCAGCAACAGCTTTTAAAACCAAACATGTAATTTCTCCCCTGAAACCAAGGCAGGTGGGAGCCAGACAGATTGATGGCTTCATAGCAGTGGTGCACGTCTAACCGTTTTCTGTGCCCTGGGAGTATGAGGGGAAACGGTTTGTGGAAAATTAGCTTCTTTTTGGCCAAGATTTTATATGGATTGCATCACAAATGTCTTTGAATTGGGAATTCTTAGATTTCAAAGTACATTTATATTTAAATAAAGATAAAAAGAATCCTGCAGACAAATGATATGAGTTAATCTGTCCTATTTTTTATTTGCAAATTCCTCTACCCATATATAATCTTAAATATCCATTTTAATAATTATTCTGCCATTTTTATGTTTGCATGACATAAGCTATTTTAATTTTATAATATTTTATGTTCATATTCTAAAATAAGTTCTATCATAAAATATATCTTAATGTAATATACATGTAAGATTTATCATTATAGAAAGAATTTGGTGTTTTCTCTTTGTCACTTTTTAACTGATCATTAATTTTATATGGAGAAAGACATTTGTTGACAAATATTAAATGATGTGTCTTAGTTTGGGTAAAAATGTATATTTAAGTATGAATAAAATTTTGTTTTCAGAATCCAAAGTAAGTCCATGCCCTAATATGCAGAGTTCTTGTAATTTGTGTTTTTTTAACAATCAACTTACCGTTTTTAAATTATAAGAGGAAAGGTTTTTAGGCTGCTACTTACAAGGAGCCCTCCAAAAAATAATACATGATGAGTGCACAGTATTTTTCTCAGTAAACTGAAAGACAGTTTGATTGCAATGATTGCTACATTTTTTCCCCCTTTGGTTTGTGAAGTGTTAGCTGACACCTTGCTATGCAGTTTGAACATTTTGATTTGCCATATCTTACAGATCAGGGGAAGAATATTCCAAGGCAAATTTACAGAATTATAGTAATAGTTTTTATGCACCTCATTAACTTAAATGTTTCAGCGCCATTGTTTTCTGACTTCAGATGGGGACACCTCACGTGTCATGGCAGGGCTCTGAAGTGAAGAACAGCACTGACACGGGTTCACAGTGTCCGGCTATGTGATAAAATCTACCAAGTCGCTAGGTCTGAAGCGCGAATCTCTGCTACATACGCTCACTTGATACGGACTTAGGCTTGAAAGGATCTGTTTTTTAAAGGAAGAAGTTTAAAATGATTATTTTGTCTATTGATTAAAATGAAGGAATGAAAACCAGATGCCTTTTCTGTCACATTCCTGCCTCTGTCAGTGAGGGACCTCTGAGCACCGGGAACTCCAAGTTGTTTCTGAACCATAGGTCTGGGAACCTGGATTTAGGCTTTAAACACTACCTTTCTGGTAATTATTTCTAGAAATGTACACAATAAAAAATGTCTTTAATTAACAAAAACTCCCTCAGTGGCACAACATATAATATAGGATACCTCACCTAATAGCCTGTCTTAAGTAGATGCCACAGGCACTTGGTTTGAGAGAGAAAGATATGTATGTCTTTATATATATAACACATATATATGTATGTATCTATAAATGTATATGTGGTTTTTAATGAATTCTGAGTCTTGAAAACTATAGGTATGTATTAGACTTTCATGTGTGGCTTGTAAGATGGCGGGGAATGAAATCGTAAACTGAAAGAAGATTCAGAATATTTTTCGAAATATTTGACTCTATGTATTGATGTTACAAATTCTATAGCATCCTTTGTGTTTTCTTCCTTTTCCTCCATCTTTAGCTACACAGTCTCACCAGTGGTATTCTTGGGGCCCGCCGAATATGCAGTGTAGACTGTGTGCAACCTGTTGGCTCTACTGGAAAAAATACGGAGGCCTGAAAATGCCCACACAGTCAGAAGAGGAGAAGCTGTCTCCCAGCCCACCTGCAGAGGTACTCGAGCGATAGTCCTCTTGGCCTCCAGGAGTGTCGTGTTTTTCAATGCCTGGATCAGTCCTTGAAAACAAAATTACAGTGTTAGATAATTAAAAAGCAAACAAAGCTTATTTTTATAGCTAAACAAAGCACCACGATATTCATGGTGGGTGTGGAGAGAGGGGCAGGGACAAATCACATCTTTTCAGATATTCAAAATATTTGTCTTGTGAGATTACCGAGACAAAAGAACAATGTGTGTAGGAGGCCTTAGTATAAGTAGAGCGTTACTGAAAATCTGTCTTATTACATAAAGTAGCAAATCGAACATTTATTCTATTCCTGGACTCTCATAGGAGGCACAAGGAGGTGTGGGCTCAATCTTGAGGTGAACACCAGTTGAAATACGATTTGGTATCATTCTCATGGCAGATAGCAAGCACCCAGGTCTACCAGAGGGAGACTATTCGAGCACTAACAGGATCTCAGGAGTCCTTCGGTATTTATTTCACACACACACACACACACACACACAATCTAACCCATTGGCAGTTCTTTACCCTTGTGAACGTAGTTTTGGATGTTAGGGTCAATTTTAAAAACAAAAATGTAGGATCACACAGATGCCCGCCCCCGACTCCAAATCCAGTTTTCTTTTCTATGTCCCCTCCTTCTTTCTAAAAGTACACACTTTTTAATTCTTCAGGGCAGTGTATTAAGTTATAGATGCTTCGGTGGAAGATTTAAAAACTGCACTTTCCCTCGAGCATAAGGCAGATAGCACTGCGCTTGACCAGCTCTGTTCTTTACATGTTTGTTGGTGTCTGATCCCGCAGGACCCGCGTGTTCGAAGCCACGTGTCGCGCCAGGCCATGCAGGGGATGCCGGTCCGGAACACTGGGAGCCCAAAGTCTGCTGTGAAGACCCGCCAGGCTTTCTTCCTTCACACTACGTGTTTCACAAAATTTGCTCGTCAGGTCTGCAAAAATTCCCTCCGGCTGCGGCAGGCAGCGAGACGGCCGTTTGTTCCTATTAACTATGCTGCCATTAGGGCAGAATGTAAGATGCTTTTAAATTCTTAACCTTCTGTGTTGTGCTTCTGACCATTTTCTCTCTTTTCCTCTCTCTCTGTTTTGTTTTGTTTTTGTTTTTGTTTGCAATAAACTTAAGTTCTTGTATACAGCCTTTTATTTGGTTTATTTTTTTTTAACATTGTTTTTGTCTGCTGCCATTTGTATCATGCCAACTTGAAAAGAAAACATTAAAACCTCTGAGCCTTTATGAGAGAGCAGTGTTCAGCCAAAGATTGGTGGGAGGGGGTCCTCCCCAGCGGGGCTTCACGACGGAACTGCCTCTGTAGCTCTGATCGAGGCGCCTTGACCTGGGGGGTGGAACCTCTGCACACTCCCCACAGGTGTTGGTACAGGGAAACTCCGGGACACACGGTCCAGTCTTACATGCATCCATTAGGTTTGAATAAAATTTGCCAATTTTCACTCATTAAAACTCGTCTTTGTATAAACCATGTTTTCCCTTGAACCTTCTACTGTTATACAGTATTTTGGAAATTCACTGTCCTTTATAACAAATGCCAGATTTCTTAGAAGAATTAAGCAACTTATAAATGAATCTTAAAGCCTTTTGGGTGCATTTTCTGAAAACACACATTTAGTTTCTACAAGCTAGTGACCAAATCTGTGGTTGAGCATCCTTCCTATTTGTACAGTTCAGTCTCCATTTCATAATCATGCATCATCTGTATTACCACATACCATTTACATGGCTTGAGTACTCATTTGCAGTGCATTCAGTCTTGCTTATCTTTCTTTCCTTTTTTTTTTTTTTTGAAGGTCATATGTATCAATGAATTGTGGACTGTTCTGTTATTACCATGTGCCCCTAAATGTGTCCCGAAGTTGCATGTCAGCTCTGACCCCAATCATGCCACTTTCAGTTGCAAGCCTGGCTGGCATGTTCGAGCCATGCAACTTTTTTCCTGTAAAGGATGAGAAAACTTGCCTCCTGGCTAAGACATAGAAATCCTAAAGATAGTCAGTAGATGCTTTTTCTTTATCTTTGAGATAAGAAAGATCTTATTACAAGATGTTCCATTTTGATTTAAAGGAGGTATCCTTAAAAAGGAGTAATGATTGAAATATATTTTGTTCCTAAAGATAGTTTTCAGCAGAACAGTTGAACGGCTTCAAATCTTAAAGGATTTAAAAGAAGAAGAACAAAAGTGCTTTGTGAAGGGAGTGGAAATTGGCACTAACTTCTGAGTCCCATAGAGGGAAAATTCAGCTACATTAGATCCACATATATTTGAGAATTTAGGTTTGTATTGAGGTTTTGTGCTAGCATTTCTGAGTTTATGGATTTATGCTATTTTTACCTTTTAAAATCCCCTTTAAGGAGCTGGAATATTTATATCCATCCAAACTGCTTAGCTGATTTAAACCACATACTTTTAGCCCTTGCTGGTGTAGCTCAGTGGATTGAGTGCCGGCCTGCAAACTGAAAGGTCGCTGGTTTGATTCCCAGGGGGGCACATGCCTGGGTTGCGGGCCACGTCCCCAGTTGGGGGTGTGCGAGAGGCAGCCACACATTGACGTTTCTCTCCCTCTTTCTCCCTCCCTTCCCCTTGCTCTAAAAAAAATAAATAAAAATCTTTAAAAAATAAAACACATACTTTTATATATAATTTCTTAAATAAAAAGAACAATAAAACATTTGAGAAAGAAAATGAATGAAATTCTTCCATTAAAATCAGCTGGGATCCAGTATCATCTTTGTTCCTGTGAATGGAAAAGAAACTGTCACCAACTAAATTGGCTACTGAGGAAGCTTTTGCTTCCTGGGGCTCTTCTGTTCATTTCTCAGCGAATTTGTAAATTGCCATTACTTTGATTGTTCAGTGAAGTGTAACTTTCTGTAACCTCATTTTAATTTTTTTCCCTCAATCGAAAGGCCATGCTACTTTAAAAAAAAAAAAAGACACGATTAAATTACCTGTATTCTGTTTCCACAAACATAGATACAGTAATAATAAAAGAACAGTCATTTATTGTGATGAGATTCAAGGAGCATTTTATTTTGTATTTAGTTTCTTGGGTTGAGTTACATACAGAATTGGATTCTCAGAATAATGAATTTTACCTCAAGATTTAAAATTAAAAAGCTCCACCAGGTATCTACTCAGTTTTTTTTTTTTTCCAGACAAGCAAATAGTGAACTCTTCCTAGCATTTAATTGAGTCTTACATCGTCTCCTCCCTTCTTACGAGTGTCTTATTACTACCTCCTCAGCAGGTCCCTTGGTCTTGGCTTGTTAGCGAGAGATTGGGTGTTAATAACCTGGTTCTGTAGCAGCCTTGTCTCTGGTCCATTGAGAATATATGTGTATTTTCTAGGTAGATTTTTGGTTTCCCAAAGTCAGTAGTGACCCTGTCCCTCCCCCTGAAAGTTAAGAATCACTATGGTGCAGTATGAATGTATTTTTAGATGAGGTAAAGGATTGTATCTGAAAATATTGATACATTAAGAGATGCAATTAATGCATTTTAGAGTAATTCATCATAATATTGGGAAAGGAAAATAGCTTTCCCTGTGAACTTGCATCTCTTCCTCTTATAAGCACTGTGAAAGTTTACCCTTCAGCAGCACCGTCAGAACTAGTATAGCCAGAGTGTATGGCGTATCAGACTACATGAGAGTGAAGAAGTGGGGAGCTAAGGAGACAAACCCTCAGATGAGGGGGAGCACACTCACAACTAGGAGTTTTTGACTTAAAAGTTAATCCTTGTTTAAAGGAAATTTTTGGTTGATTACAGCAACTCACTGTCTTTATTTTCATTAAGAAACTGGTATTAAGGAGTACAGCATAGTAAAAAGGGGAGTCTCTGCACGTATGTAAAGTATCCCAAGGAAACATAAGTAGAATCTGTGGGAAGGGAAACGGAGGGTGAGGGAAGGGTGTTGGAAAAGAGGCTTAACATTCACTGTTCCTCCTCAGACTTTTTCCATTTTGAACCATGGGAATATATATTTCCCATTTTAAATAGTTTAAAAACAAATAATTATATAGTATGACCAACATGTTTTCAAATGTATGAGATATAGAAAGTGATTTTTTTAAAACCACCTTCTCCAAGTAAATTATTCATTTAATAATACACCTTTGTGTGTGAATATGTAAGTCCATGCCAAAAATTACATCGGTAGAATACCTGAGCCAATTCTACCATACAGACAGTGCTTATTTAAAATGCACTGGAAGACCCAGAACCAAGCACTGCACTAAGTACCGTGTCTTTGACAAGATTCGTGGACTGACAACAGGGTTGTAGCAGCATCAAGTTGCAGACAACCTGTCCCTTCTCCCCCTTGACATTCCTCCCCGCAGTGAAAAAGCCAGGATATGATCATGGGATTTTTGCTCTGTTACTGCCGTCAGGCATTTCCACCGAGTTACCAGATGGTTTCACCAAAGATCAGTAAATTACCCAATACCTGATGAGCTCAGGGTTACTATTTGAGATTCAGGATCCTCAGAAACGGAGGATGAAGTAGGTGCGTTAGCAGCATTCTGTGGATGAAGCCGGGCCCGAAGTGGACCGCTTGCATGCATCAGTACGCGGTTTCTGAGTAGATCCCGCAGCAGGCTTGAATGATAGCAGCACTCCCGGGTATGAAGTTCAAGAGGCACCTGGAGCCATTTTTTAAATTTTCTGTTCGAAGATGCCAATTCAACTTGGAAGCATCCCAAGGCCCCATATTCATCAAAAATTTGTTAATGTATTCACTGAGTTTTCCTAGAGATGTATCAGCAAAACTTAATAATAATTGTATGAACTTTTTGTGTAATTTTAAGAACTAACATTAGGAAAGAATAGTCTTATTATTTGGTATTTTGGAGAATAAAATTTGCTTTTGGAGGGCCACATCAAATTTTTCTAAAGATACAGAAGTGGTTACAAACCTTACTGCCATTCCCATCTTTGGAGGGAACCGCCGTCACCAGTGTCTAAGGTACCCAGAGGTAGTCTGGATTGGTTTCTTAAAAAATAAATTAGGTTAATTTAAATTAATTTTTTAAAAGCTAGATTAGGTTAATCCAAGAATTTTTAGGTTATTTCCAATCAGTCTCTAAGTACTATTGCAACAAGTATCCCTATATAGATAGCTCATGTGTGAAATGTGAACGTATCTTATAGGATAGATTCATCAAAGTAAACCACTTGGGTCAAGGAGCATGCATTTTGAATTTTGCTAGCTGCCCTTAGACACGTACAGTTCACAGCACCCCCACCATGTCCAGAGATGCCTGTTTCTCCGGGAGCTTGCTGGCAGTGTTTTCTGAAAGGTGATGAGTGAGCTACATTCCCTTGCATTTCTCTTTTTGAGTGGAATGGAGATCTGCGTATATTTGGAAACCATGTGCATTCCTTTGCTGTCAACTGTTTTTGCCCCTCTCCTGTTTTCTATTGGATGAAAGTGTTAGGGACTTATGGGAACTTTTTATATTATATGGAAATGAACTCTTCATCTGTGATATGTGATGCAAATATGTCCCCATTTTGTCTTTGATTTTGTTGATGGTGAATTTGCCCAATTTTTAAAACATGGTTGAATTTATTATTTTTTTAATGGCTCCCGGGCTCTGTGTCTTGTTTGGAAATGCCTCCACATTGCCTAAAAGAAAGTTCTGTGGGTCGTTTTGTTTTGACGGCGATTTTGAAAGCCCATGTGAGATGTTTTTGTGAAGTTTAATTCAGGGTGTACTTTTTGCAGTTTTTTAACTTATCCCCTTCCTATTTCCAAAGCAGTTTAAAAAGTGGCCATGAGTTGCGATGAAAGCAGCAGTGTTTTTCCAGGTTTGCCTCAAGATGTAGATCATGCCCTTGGAGGCCAACGAGCCGGGCCCTGCGTTCAGTTAGGAATGCGAGCGCGATGCAGACACTCTCCCTCCCTCCGTGTGCGCAGACCTCGGTTCCTCCGGGTTCTGTGGGCGGTTCTCGGGTTGCTTTATCTGTGTCCTTTTCCCGCTCGCCCATGGGAGTTATCTCCGTGTAAATAGTCAAGTGAACAGTTTGGGAGCGAGGACTGACAAGTGGCACCACTGGCCTGGCCTTGAGAGCCGACCAAGTTCTACTTAACCAGCCAAGTGCGGACCGACGATCCTGTCTGGTCATTCCCTCAGGGTGGGACGTGTTTTTGCTGTTTGTACGTCGCTGGCTGTAGTAGTTTTTGTGTTAAACCGTGACTAGGTAGTCTTAGCACTGTTCCTCCCAATTTCTTTACAGTTGAGATCGATCATTTGTGTCACCATTTGCTCTTTAAAATATAATGAGGATTGCCCTGGCTGGTGGGGCTCAGTTGCCTGGAGCATCGTCCAGTCACCCAAAGGTTGCAGTTCGATCCCCGATCCAGGCACTTAGATCCCCCATCCAGGTGTGTATGGGAGGCAGCCAACATCTCTTGCATTGATGTTTCTTTCTCTCTCCCTTCCTCTCTTTAAAAGCAATGAAAAAATAAATGTCCTCAGGTGAAGATAAAAATTTTTTAAAATATATATGAGGATTAGTGAAATATGGACCCTTCTAAAGAGCTTTGCTCCCCCACGCAGGTGCTCTGTAAATTGTTCCTTGAAACATCACATAATTACTCCAACTAATTTAGTGAGAAATTAAAAACATTAGTTTAAAGTGAAATATCTTTGGGTGTTGTGTTGGTGACCCCTGTGATGGGTTTGGTGATCTTGTCAAGGTGCCGGTTGTATGGGAATCCACCAATTGCAGCCACGTTGGCGGTTTTCCTTGGAGCCTCACCGACTGGAGTGAAGAGCAGAGTTGATCTGATTACCAGTAATGCAGTGATTGCCGTCCTCCAGACACTGAGGAAATAACCAAGATGGTTCGCTGAAGCTATATTTTATTAATAGGAAGGAGAGAGATTTCTCTTGTCCTCACCCCACATGGAACTTGAATTTTAAATGACTGAATAGTGTTGAGAAGGAATTATTATTTAGTATTAACTCAGTAATTTGACAGGTGTTTGGTCCTTGCAGGATTTGGGCTGCTTTTTAATGTCTATTCAGATTACTCATCCAAAACATGCTTATTATATTTCCACCTGTATCTTCACTATCACTCAACAACAGGTGAAAAGCTTCATACCTTCGTAAATTTTTCCCCCTAAAGAAAATCAGCTGAATAGGAGGAAAAGAATGGGGATCATTATAGTTGTCAGTGGTTGAATCATAATTAGCCACTGTTTGGGATACATAATCAGATTCCTATTATTTGAGGATCTCTGTCATTTGTACTTTATTTCAATATTATAAAAAGTGTTGTTTTCCCACCTTTTTCTGCTTAATAGTTATTAGAAAAGAGTTTCCTAGGGGAAAGGGCTAGAGCTTATGAAAAAGTTAATTTTTAACTTGAAATTATTTGAGATTCCAGATTGAATTGTACATTTTATTTTATTTTTTAAATTTATTGTCACCCGAGGATACATTTATTGATTTTAGGGAGGGAGGGAGGGAGGGAAACATCTATGTGAAAGGGAAGCTTTTGCCCCCTGTACACACCCCAACTGGGAACCGAATCTGCAACCTGGATATGTGCCTCGAGAGGGAATCGAACCTGCGATCTTTCAGTGCCTGGGACCGTGCTCCAACCAACCAAGTCACACCAGCCAGGGCTTGAATTGTATGTTTTGGTAGTCAGAGAATTCCTATGGATGTCAAAGGAAATTTCTTGTATGTATACCTAGAAACGTCGTCTCAGCCTGTGAAAGAACAAATTCTCTCGTTATCAGAAAGCCTGTAGGACATTCTGGTCCAATATTTGAAGGTGGAAAAAGGCGTAGACATCATTAAGTTTTGTGACAATATCTGCAAATGTAAAAAACTTCAATACACATTTTTCTTGTCCCTTAAGACTCTAACAACTCCGGTAGGGCGGGCAGTCTTGTACCACATCTACTCTTGTGTCGTAATGACAGCTGATTAAGATGCAGAGTGTTTATGCTGTGTGCTTATTTTTCTCTGAAATCTCTTATGGTAGGTTGTGAGGAGTGCGATGTGAGCTTTTATCACCTAATACCCCTCTGACTGATTCTGTTGGATGAAATATTCTGCATACAGGTGACCTTTTAAATCTCAGCGCTAACGACGTCATGGTAGGATGTGAAGGCTGGAACACCGGTGATAAAAGCAAATAATGACCTATGTTTACCCTTGTGCGGCTGTCATCTGATGACAGTGGGTTTCACCAAGCTAGATGAGGACTCCCCAGTGGAAAACCACTCCACCTCGGTCAGGGGTGGCTGGATGGGTTACCTTTGTCAGCTGTCACTTTTGTCTTCCATGCCAGAGTGATGTGGCATTAGGATTGATTCAGCCTCGTATTCCATGGGAAGTTTTTTTACTTCAATGTAGAGAAGCCGTGGCTAGAAAGGAGACATATTTCCACTGCTTTACAGAGGGGCATGCACAGGGACTGTGTGTGTAAGTGCATTTTAGCTGCACTGGTGTGGGGCTTTCAGACAAGTGTTCTCCAGGTAAAGGCCTCACTCAGGAATCTGGAACCAGAAACTCAAAATTGCACAGGCATCTGGTGGATGTCTTGCACTCGCACCTTTTGTGCCTGCAGCGTGTGCGGTGCAGGAAGAGAAATCAGCCTCATGGGTTGTCTCCGTGTTTCTTTCTCTTCCCAGATGCAGACAGACACGCCGACCTCTCGGGAAGTCCGCTGAAAAGCAAAAGCACTAGGAAGCCTTTGGCATGCATCATTGGGTATCTAGGTGGGTGTCTTCTAATAGTGGAAAAACTCAACGTTCTATGTCTTACAAATATTTTGCTATTCTGAACCAAAGTCAAGCCTTTCAAATAGCTGAGGTTGGATACCTTGGTATGTGTAGTCAACTTATTTTGTTTTAGAAACTTTTATTTTTATTTTCCAAACACACCCAACATACACAATTATGGATATGTTTACTTTTACCAAAAAAAAATTACTGAATAAAAATGTGATGTGTATTTATGGATATAAGTACAGATTAAATTAAAATGAGAGTCATTAAATTATTAGAGAATGAACCATCTTAATATTTTGATTTAGATCCTTCCAGTATTTCTAACCCACCTTACCCCTTTCCGTAAATAGAACAGGATTGGTTTATCTACTTTTTTTGTAAGATAAAACTGATTTTTAACCTGCCTTTAAAAAAGACATAGTTCTGATGTGCCAATTAAGGTTACTTTGAAAGAGGAGCATTTGTATTACTTCCTGAAAGTTGCCAAATATGATGGTTCCATTTACATGTTGAAATACCACAGTTAACAAGAGTACCAAAAAAAATGACTTGGCAATAACTTCTTTTTCTTTTTCCTTTTTCTTTTGTTTGCAAAGATTCCTGATACACCTTGAAGCTCTAATGGCATTTTGTTGCACCCCTTATATTCTTGCCTTTTCACTTTCTCATTAAAAGCGAGACATGTAATCAGAGAGTTGCACTGAACTTTGTTACTCTGCCAGAATTTGTAGTTATGAAGTATTCAAACTTTAGACATCCATTCTTTTAAGAATCAAAGCATAGCCTTGAGCTTGGTCTATTATCTGGTCCTCACCAGAGCATGCCAGGAGTCAGGAGCTCACGGCTTCCTCTTTAATGTTAGTCTGCCCCCTTATTTCCTGCTGTATTCCTCGCGGGCTGAAGAGTTGCTTTGAGAGCCTCCGGAAACATCACATGGTTATCACAGACGTGACCTAGGTCATAGCGGTTAGGTTCTTGAAGTTTGCGGTCTGTCTGCCCTTGCAGGGCCTAACCCTAGAAGCCCCTTCCCACCTGCAAGGGAGAGTTTCTGATCATAAAGAGTAGAATATAGCATTGCACCTTGGTCACCTTCCCACAGGCAGTCCCGTATTCCTCCAGTGGGCAGGGTGGTCTCGGTCCCCACCAGATGCGCTCCCAGTTCAGTTGTGCTGTCCTGCTAGCTGAACCACATCCCTACAGAACACGCTTCTGAGTATTTACTGTGTACAAGATGCTCTCTAAGTGGGTTAGGGGACACCAAGATGAGTGAGACCTTGCCCTCAAAAATCTTTGTCTAGTAGGGAGAGCGCACAGGTTAGACAGTTGAACAAAGGGGTTCTACAAAAGAATGACAGGTAATAGGCACTGGGCGCTTGGAGGAAGGGGTAGTTATTTCTGATGAGTGTTAGGGCAGCCTACGTGAAGAAAGTAGTAATTGATCTCAGCCTTGAATGATATAGAGGATTTGAATTGATAGAAAAACAGGAAAAGTAATGTTTTTCCCTTATGGGACCAAGATAACCAAATAGACAAAGGCTTTAATGAAGTAAGGACCTGAAAAGTTTAGGGAATGCAGGTTGGTTTGGTCTGGATGGAGCCTGGAGTGTGGAGGTGGTCATTTAAAATGAGGTCCCTAGACCTTCGACACCATGTTGAAAAAAAAATCAGCACTAGATTTTGGTTAGTACTTGGTTTGTTTCTAAATGTTGGCAAGTGCAGGATTTTGACCAGAACAAGATACAATTCCAACAACACTCAACGAAGGCTCTTTCTAAATTTCAGTCAGTGAGGCTGTCACCTTGGCCCTCCCCTCAGAGACCGGGTGGCTTGTGCACACTTGGCACACTGGGCGTTGACTCAGAATCGGTGAGCAGGTTTCTCCCTGGAGGTCCTTAGGTTCCAGTTCCTATAGTGCTGCAGTTTTCGTCCATCTACCCCATTCAGAGAGCGAACGGTTCTGGGCTGTGTGCCCGACAACAACATAATTCCCTTAAACACACGTGTACCACGTGCACGTGTCAGTTTGGTGATCCATCCTCGGGTGAAGTTTCTCTTGTACTGCTTCTTGACTCTAGTATTTGGAGTTTGGTGTCAGATTTCACGTCTATCAAAACGCCCTGGGCTGGGAGTGAAGGACCAGGGTCCTAGGCCCTGCTTGCAGAGCCAGAGGAGGAGTTCTGTTTTCCACCAGATCTGGTCACTTGTTCAGCGCTGGTTTGGTATAGAACACAGAGGTAGTTTCTCCAAGGCTGCCTCTCTAGACAGCTTCTGGATTGCCAATACCTTGAAGAGTCAGATGCCTTATTATTCCCTTGGTAAAGCTTGTATTTAAGTGACCTTCTATAGTGGTTCTTTTCTTCCATTCTTTTTCTTTTTTTTTTTTGGTACTGACAACATGAAGCTCCAGCTAACAGGGAAGATCCCACTCCCTTTTGATAAGTAAAGCAGCCATGGGAACAGCACTTGAAGCTGATTAATTATGCAAGTCCCTGGGAAAACAGGCTGGCTCATAAGGAACTCTCGGCTCATTAAGAGATAAGACGTTGTGCCTATTAGCCAGTGACGTTCACACAGAGATTTTTAATACCATGTTCTGAGTTGAGAAACCTTTTTCCCCACTGTCAGAGATCCATCCTTCAAAGAAACCTAATGTAATCCGATCTACACCAAGTCTGCAAACCCCAACTACCAAGCGGATGCTGACCACCCCGAATCACACGTCGCTGAGCATTCTGGGGAAAAGAAACTACAGCCATCACAATGGCCTGGATGGTATGTAAGCCCCGGATCACAGGGGCTGTTCTTTTTAAAAAATTTTTTTAATTGAGAGAGAAAGAGAGAAACATCAATTTTTTGTTCCATTCATTTATACATTCCTTGGTTGCTTCTTGCATGTGCCCGGACCAGAGGTTGAACCTGCAATCTTGGTGTATCGGGACAGTGCCCCAACTAACTGAGCTGCCCGGCCAGGATGCGCAAGGGCTGTTCTGAGAGGCCAGGGACCCTCTGCCCTCACCAGTTCCAGGCATCACCTGCCAAATCTAAAAATATATAACAAATGGGATCTTCTACTCTCTGATTGAACTAAATGGGTGGTAAGGGGAATAAAAGGGAAGGTGGTCCTGTGCCGCAATGAAGACATTTGCCAGGTGACATTTCTCCGTCTCCTCAGGAGGGACATGTTTGCTCCCACTTCCTCTGAGGAGGCGAAATGTGTGTTTAGCAGGTGGCCTCTGCTGGGTGGTAATGTTCTCGCTGCAATGCACACTCACTGCTCATTTGTGTTTCCTCGAGCAGACGGGATTACCTCGCCTTCTGTCTGAGACAGGAGTGCTCTCTGGGGCTTCTTCAGCCGTCCATGGATTGTTTTGGATTTGGCGTTTGTCCCCTACTTCTTTCATCTTATAAATTTTTTTAATTGCTCAAGAGTGCTACAAATCACGAAAGGAATTGCCTAGGTGATGTCCTAAATAGAGGAATAATAAGTTGTTTCAAATGGAAAAACTGAAAACTCTCACCTCTTATCCAAAGCACTTCTCTTGGGCTTGGCCATGTAATGACCCTTCAGGTGGAATTGAATTATGTTCCCAACTGAACTATAAACACAAGCATAATACATCATCCAGGCAATATATATCGCTCATTTCAATAGCCCTGGACTTTGAAACTGTCTTGATTGTTTAAATGTTGGCATTTATTTAAAACCCTTTCCAGGCATTTCATGTCTTGCAGAACTCTCAATTCCTTCAGTGACAGTAAGTTATTTATAATGAGGCCCTAGAGCAAGGATGTGAACTAGACCTTCTAGTAATAATTTTTCAGTGTGTGCTTTTGGTGGCCTGTCTTTTGATGGTCATTGTGATGTCAAAATGAATAAAAAATTCAGGATGAGGAGTTTAGCTTGCATTTATGGGCTTTTCAATGTGTTGTAGATGTGGCTTTCCAGAATGTATTTACACAGTAATCTTGCAGAAATCACTTCCTTGCTAATGAGAACATCAGCCATCCTTGCCACAGTGTGCCTGATGCCTAGACAACGGGAAACCAAGGAACAGTTGTGTCAAAACGTGGAGACTGGATTTCTTTCCAGCTTTTCCTTGCCCACAGCCTGGGGACTTTGTATTCAGGCTCATTTACAATTAGGAATCTTTCTCTTCCATTTCATCACTTCCCTGGCCTCTCTCTAGGTTTATAGCCCTACTGCAGAAAGCAAAAAGTTCATTCTGGTTCATGCAATATATGTGTATCAAATGAATATATGTATTTGTTCTTTATGGTGAAAAGTTTTTTTCCACTCGCACGCACCCCATGGTCATGGTCACTAGGTCCCAGTCCTTTATTGCAAAATAGAAACCACATACATTATTTTAAGAGCTAATAAAAGAAATTGAATTGATATGACAGGTGCTGGAGGACAGGATGGGCATGTGGGGTGTGTGGGGCTGGAGGTGGTAGGGTTAGGAGAGCAAAAGGAAGCAGTTGGGGCTGTCGCAAGCTGGAAGCTCACGAGGGCTCTGAGGAGCTGGAACTCAGACCTCCAGCAGAGAGCCCTGTTCGGTCGGCACTGGCATCTCTTGGGAGGTGTGATGAGGCTGGTCTGGGCATGTGGAGTAAAGCTGGGCACTGAAACAAACCTCTGTGGCTACCTGGGGCCACGCTGGCAGGGACAGAAAAAGTGTGTCCTTAGGTCTTGCAGGCTCCCTCCAGCACCCTCTACTGGTGGTACAGGGAGCCTGGTGGTGAAGGAGAAATGTGTCCACAGAGTCCCAGCCCCAGCATCTCTTCTGCTCAGCACACTGCCTGGGCCTTACCAGGTGCTCAATAAACATAGCCTGAGTAGAAGGGAGTTCAGATCAGGGAGCTGAGAAACGAGTGTAGGAGAACATACATTTTAGAAAACGTCCCCATTTCTGTATTCCCAGTGGACCTTTTCCTTGGGACAATGGGTCTGTTTCTTACTTCTTTGGGATATAGAACCCTGAATTTCCAAAGTGAACTCAAAGTACCAGAAGAAATGTCAGGCTCATCGTGAGTTTTCATGGGGTAGTTAATATTGTCATGTGCCGGAACGGGTAGATACAAACTCACGGGAAAGCCAGGCCCTGTGTGACCCAACAGCAGAATCAGTTCTCACAGCCACCCGGTCATCAGAAGTCCGCCAGACACACACGCACCAAATAGGGTGTTGATGGGTAGAACGAGCTGAACAGGAAACAAAATCTGCTGGTACTGAAACGTGCCGGACTCCCGGCCTCAGGGCACCCTGCCCCCTGCCCGGTGGCTTGGCCTCCTTCACTCGCCATCAATCCTCAGGTGGAGGCTCTTGATGATCGGAAGAGTCTCTGGGTTTCTGCTGGCAGAAAGGATTTTAAACAGTCATGGACAGCTTCCGATTGTCTTCCTGAAAGTCACCATCTTCCTCCTGGCCCTGGCCCTGGCCCTTTAAGACCCCGTTTTGACTGCTGGCTGGGAGTCAGCACTCTGTGTGCTGGTTACCCTTTGTCACCAGCTGCACGCAGACCTCCGTGACCGCCCTCGTGGCTGTCACACTCCGGGGATGAAAACACAATCTGCACATGTAGAAGCCCCATTATTTGGGGTCAGTAATGCTAGGAAGAGTAAAGTTCCAAAATATAGACCTGCCTGGCCCCTTCTCAGCCCCCTGCACTTCAGTCTCTCCCCTCAGGGCTGTGCCACATGCAGTCATGGCCCTTTCCGGGCTTACAGGTGCTTGGGTGACGTTTTCATTGCCGGCAAACCGAGTAGCTACCACACTCCACCTACTCGGTGAGCTCCAGGTGGCCGGGAGGAGAGGAGGCCCTGAGATCCGGGAGGGAAGCCCCGTCACTGGAAAGCTTGTCCATGTGTGAGAGCCAGCAAGAAGGGCAGCGGGGAGATGGACCATGTGCCGTGGACATCCGTGGGTTTGCAGTCAGATGGGATTAATTGCTGCAATTGATGATTATTTCCTGTGGCCTTGGATGCAGTACTCGGTTTCCTCTGTAGAGCACAGAAAAAAAAATTTGTTTTGCCTTAATGGAGTTGTTATAATGATTAAAAATTCTTCATCTACTTTATATGACTTGATCTTCTGAACACTTTATGAGCTAGGTGTTATAACGTGCATTTTATTTTTTTATGACTTGTTATTTTCAATTTTTAAAATTTTAGTTGCTGTTGATAGATAACATTATATTAGGTTCAAGTACACAACATAGTGATTAGACAGTTACATAACTTGTGAAGTGATCACCTCGATAAGTCTAGGACCCACCTGAAACTGGCTTTTTAATAATGAAAAAAACTGCACAAAGCTCAGAGAATCTAAGGGCTTTGCCCCAGGTCGCGCTGCTAGCAAGTGACAAAGATGAGATTTAAACTTCAAGTCCGGTGTTGTTTCCCCAGGGCCACGAAGGCCCTGAATTTGTATGTTGAGGGCAGCAGGTACCTGGGAGATGTGTACGTTTTCTGTGTGTAGCAGATGGGTGTGTTTGTAAATCCAGGGGGGAACACAGGGGGTGTTTTTCTTTGTTCAGACTGTGGAGTATGCGCCATCATTGTCTGATAAAAACCTTCGCCTTCTTTTCCTGTCTCTCTGAAACTCCTCTGCCCATATGATACCCCCTTCTTTCTCTGGAGCTTAGGGCATAGGAGCTATGTTAGTGTCAGAGAGAGGAAAGAAAAGAAAGAAGAGAAAATCCACACAATCACTTAAAAAGGTGAAATGTGTTTAAATTAAATTATATGCTATTTCCAGCATTGACTCTGACTTGTAGTAGATGTCCAGTAAGTGTTAAGAGCCATCCCCTCCTTTAACAAAGAGCTACTATTGAAGTTTTATTTGAAAAAATTTTAAGATACTGACCAAAGATTTTGTACTCAGCCTAAGAGTATGATTCTCAAAAATGACTCATGGGTTTGCCTGAAGGTAAATGATTGCACATTAGAGGGCCGAGTATCTATAAAGAGAAATGGCCCTCAATGAAGTTATTTGGAGGGTGATTGAAGACCAGAAATTGGGTTTATAGAGAGGGCTTACTGAGCTTCCTGCAGGCCCCTGTCATTCATAGCACAGGGGGTGGGACGCAATGATCCTCAGACAGTGGAACCTTTCCAGGGTGAAGGCCGAGCCAGAAAAAGAAGTCTGGGGACGAGCCAGCCGGTGAGCTGCACGGCCCCTCTAAGAAGGTGCCCTGGGTTGCCGCTGCTGTCACATGCTTGAGTCTGGGTCCATCAGCACATCTCTCATCCCCTGCACAGGGACAAGGAGACTGCCTACTCTGTCTCCGTCTCCATCAGCGGGTGCTCTTGAGAACAGATGGAGCCATGTAGTGACATAGACCAGGGCAGGCCTGTGTCAACTGCAGGTGCCCTTCAGCCTTTTCTGGGGTGACACAGCTTTGGTCCCAGGAGCACTGCTGAAGCGACAGGCTCAGAAGAGAGGTATTTGCAGCTGGACTGAGTCAGGGCGTCCGAGCCAAGGAAACTGATGAATTGTACAATAAGCTGCTTTTTAATCTGCTCTCCTCTGGTTTATTTCCCCAGGGTATGTGAGTCCACTGGAAATCTAGTTTTGTTTTGTTTTTCTTATTTGTTTTGTGCATTGAGTAATATTATTTCTCTCAGTCTCCCATGTACAGGGGCCATCCAATGTGGTTGCCTCTAAGAACAACGGTAGGGCGTAAAGACTGTCCTCCTGATGACTTGTCTCTGGAATCAGTGACTCGAAAGTTTCAGCTGTTTGCGTCTCAACCCTGGGGACGGGGAGGTGG